GTGTGGTTGGGGGCGGGGAGGGAGGTAAAACATGAAAGGAAGTCTCAATTTTTATTTAGTATGATCAGTGATTTCGCAATCTTTCATGTGAGTTTCATGGTGTTCTCAGCTTGTAAGTGCATGCAATACAGACTGCAGTAATCATAGTTCTGTTATATAGCTTTTACCTAATCAGGAAGCCATCAATGCAAGTTATACAAGGTCAAAAGAATATGAAAACTATGAAACTAGAAAGGTATAGAAGACCACATAAAAATTTGATTAGCATTGAGCGAAAAAAGATAACAACTAAAGCAAGCAACAAGAGTTTCCAATTCAGCACAACTGTATCTACCAAAATAATGGACTTCTTGTCAGCACATACAGAGCTCTGGTATGATTTTCTCAGCTATTAATTAGAGATAATATTCTTCAACTATTTTTGAAAGAAAAATTTTATAACCACCAATTTCAGCAAAGGTAAGATCATACTAAATCAACAGAAGAGGAAAAAAGAAAGCAATGCAGCTGAATATCAGAGAAGGATTAAAAACAGGGAAACCTATCAAGACACCATTTATCAATCATACTTTTCTATAAAAATTTAGCTGGTTCCTAATCTCTAATATACCTCTCTGGCAATTATTTCTATTAAAATTAAAGGCCGCACACGCAACACATGATAGAATTATTATGAATTGAGGAAAATACCCTTTACATCCATAGTATATACCTTTCAAGTAAAAATAAAAATTAACATTTATGAACACAAGGAATCAGGTAAGATGCATACCTGTACAATTTGCACTCCAACACTCGACCTTGTTTCATACAGATTATCATTCCCAGCTCCATTCAAATTTGGCCCAGAAATACAATAGCTCCGGTCAGGGCTACAATAACAAAAAATCAACAGTTAAATCCATAGTTGCCATGAGATGTGAAGTGATTTTGAAAGGAGAAGACAGACTACAAAGAAAAAATACAGACTACAACCTCAAATGGTCCCATCTACGTATCTTCAAATCAGTTCCCCCAGTCAACAAATCACCACCTGGTAAGGGAAGCATCGCACGAATACCAGGAAAACGAGGAGGCGGTTCATTAAGCTCCTCGACTCTGTACTTTGGTTTGACATTCCGCCTCACATCTAGTTTAAGATTTGTCTTACTGGATGGCCTGGCCAAGGCCCATGGTATATCAGAAATTTCTTCGTTGTCATAATTTGCAACCCTCATGACCTGTAAGAGAAGTTTAACAATGCCATGTAAAATTAACAATATAGAGAAGGATAGGGTAACAGTAAATTAAAAGAAAGTAGATCGAAAAAGAATTTTTATGCAGCTAAAAGTAGTACAAGACATTCTTATATCATCTAACACTTGGAGAATATCATTTCGAGCAAAATGCAGCACATAGCATTTGGAGATTAACACAATATTCATCCTTGAAATTCATAATCAATTGCATCTCTTTCATAATATAAAATCTTAAGTACAACCTTTGGGTGGTTATTAATAAAAAGATTATTTAGTGTAGCTGTGTATCTGCAACAGGCCATACCCCATGTAATTTAAGTTCTTACAATAATTACCAATATAAAACAAAAAAAATAGGCCTAACATATTGTATGTGTGCGAGAGTGTGCAGTGGTATTAGATTGACTTTTCAATTATCCATAAGTCACCCACCGCACAAAAACTTCAATTTGTAGCAAGTGTCGCAGCAAGAGACATCATGCATTGTCAAATTTTAGATTACACAGCAATAATTCCATTCCAATGTTCAAATTAGAGCAGAAATAATGGACATTTAAATATTGAAGTGCGTGACAAGAGCAAATCCTTAACAAATTAGCATATACACGATATCAGTGATATGCAAACCCTTCAAAACTCAGTTTTCTACTAACATACAGTCCTTCGTACCAAATTTTTCATCTATCAAAACACAAGATGTTAATATATGAAATGTTGCTTTTCGTAAAGCCCTTTTTTGCTCATGTAGTCTGTGTAACTAAAGTAACACCTAGACAATAGCCAAGGCTATTGTGCATTATCCTATTCTATGCCACCCAAACTGATTATCAAAGGCAACCAATAAAGACAATTGGCACATACCTGGTGGCAGCTCCCAGTCTCAGCATTCCAAAGAGAAACTTCATTACACCCTGCAGCAACATATATGAGTGGTCTTGCAGTGCTGGTTACAGTGACATTTGGAGGAGGAACAAAGAGGCACATCTTCTCTACAGGGCATACATGAGAATACTTCCATGAGTTTACAGGGATAAGGAACCTCAGATCCCAAAGTGTTAGCACACCCCTGGAAGAGCCTGAGACAAACCAGTTTCCACAAGGACCTGTAACCAGAGACGATATGTAGCCTTCCTCAGGAACTGCTTTTAATGTCCAGGCGTTTGAATGGGCCCTGATATCCCAGAGATGGATCCCACAATTTTGGGTGCTGTACATAACACTCTGGCCATCACTGTTATCACTGGTGTAGTTCAAAAGACTAAGAATGGCACCTTCCTTGATATCCTTCTTTTTTATATCAGCAATCCCTGAATACTTCTCAACAACATTACCAAGGCCTCTGGACATGTGCTCAACAGAAAACATATGAATTGTGCCATCACATGCTCCAACAACAACTTGAGCTATGTTGTGAAGCATAACAGTGCATAGCGCTCGACTCCCCTCCAGGTGATAAGTTAACCTTGATCTAAATGAGATGTCCTTCTCCAATTTTCTTGAATCCCACACCTTGATAGTTGAATCATCAGATGCGCTCACAAAAAAGCTATGATCACTTGAAACTGCAATGTCATTGATGGCAGACCGGTGCTCCTGCAAGTGCGCAATCAACACCCCACGAGGTTTCCAACCTGAATCAGGAATTGAAGCAGCCCGTGCAAATAACGGCAATCCAGTTAGATCTGTTGGGGGGGCATCTTCCACCGTAAAAGAACTTCCTTTTGAAGTTCCATATAATCCCATATCTTGATATTTACCATTAAAGAATGATGTTTGCTCATTTTCTCTGCTTTCTGGTTCATGTACCACTCTATAAAATGGTTTAGAACCATTTGTAATGCTAAATGAACCTGAAACCAGCTTAGGTGCAGGAACAGAACTAGCCAGGCTAAATGATTTAATTCCTGGATCCACCCAGGGCATGAATGATGAACTGAATGCAAGGGAGTTCATTTGCAACGAAGAATCAGATGTTGCTGGAGGAAATTTAACTGCTCGCCTGTCCATGCTAAAGGAGTATAAGGGTATGCCTTCTGAGGATTTATCATGTAAAAAGCTATTCACACCACTAAACTGAGGGGACATACAACCTGAGAATTGCAACTTCTCTGAGCACAGGGCATCACGAATGTCGACTTTGCTGGAAGCATTGGCCATAAAGCCCATAGCTATTAACTTTGCATCACCATCCTCTGGCTGTTCCAATCTATCAGCATCATGATTTTGATCCTCAGGACTTGATTCCTTTTCAGGCCAACTCTTCACTGAATTCGGTTCCTTATCTTCTCCCTTGAGCAAATCATCAGGTTCCCATTGTTTTGACTGGGCTGATGGATTGTACCATATTTTCCTCTGTCTCTCTAACATGTCTGAACTCTGGGCATTTTCTAAGTTGTGGTAAAACTCCTGTCTTGTAACTGGAGGAACCAAACATAAAAGTAGAGACTTCTCTGAAGCTAGAGAAGCTGGATGTCTGCAAAGGAACCGGCGTATAACTGGTGCTAGGAAAACATATGAATCTACTGTTCCTAAACTCTCACTGCAGGCAGCAACGAAAGAGACAGCTGACCTTCTAACCCATTGACTAGGATAGCATGACAATGGAAAGGCATGCTTTATCATTTCAAGCAGTACCCGCTTCCGTAGGAAGCCGCGTTCACACAAAATTGCCAAGCAGTCTAATGCATTTACAATGACAAACTCAGTTTGATCACTTAAGGCCTGATCAATGTAAGGTAAAAGATATTCTTCCACACTTCTTTGGCCCACAAAGAAGCAGACATATACAATCTTGCTATAGAATAATGCCCTTAGTTGCTCATCTCGATCATTGAGAAATGCAGGAAGGATTGGTAACAGAAAGTCATTGCTTTGTCTGTGGCCAAAGAAGAAGCACAGATTGCCAATGTCCTGAAGGAGTGCTCTCCTGATATTTGGAGTTTGTTTTGGACCCATGACAAGTTCCTGAACAACCTCAGCAATTGATTTCCTCAGCTGTGACAACTGCGCATCATTATTTACTCTCTGCAGCTGCCCAGGTCTTTCAATAAATGATGCCATCGAATTCTGTGGTGAACTCATTTCATCAAGAACACCTGCCTTGCTCAAGCTTATTGAATGAATCAAGAACCCATAAGCAGTTAAAGCCAGCTTCGCTATATTGCTGGCGTAACATATTCTCACACTTTCCTCGGGATCATCAGGAAGCATGGAAAGCATTGGAAGAATATACTCAGGGAAAATCTTTGCATCACTAGGAGGAAAATCACGAACTAAAGGCAGAATGTCACACAAGGTTTCCAAGGCAGCAGAACGCACTATTGCTGCTGGATCCGAAAGCATTGCAATAACATATGGCAGCACACGCTGTAAGCGATCTTCATCATCAATATATAATGAACAAGACTTCAATAAAAGTATAGCTCCTCTCCTCAAATGTGGCAACTTGACATTACGTATGCAAGAGCATAGCAGAGAGGCAATCAGAACCATACCTTCACATTTCATGCTATCTTCAGGTAACGGTAAAAAAGGCATACCAAAGGTATCTGATTGACTGTCATACTCAGACATCAATGAACTCAAATCATCCATTGTAATTTTTTTCAGAAATGGATGATCATTTCTCCTAAATGCATTTGAGATAGTTTGAAGAAGCTCATCAGGAGATTTGGTGCTGCATTGCTTGAGATCCTGGCAAAATTCAGAACCAGGTGCACTATCAGGCATCAATTTCGCACTATAATACCCACTACTTTGTTTTACGTCCCCAAGCAGGCTATTGATATCTCCAAGAAGATTGTACTGTTGACAACTTAAACCATTTTCTATTCTCTCTCTGTTTCTCCAATGACTTGTCGAGTCCAAGTTTTGTTTTTCAACCATCTCTTCTGATAGTTTCCCATTCAAACTATTTGCAAACATGTCTCGTCTGGTGCCAGCCACCTCACTTGTCCTGTTTCCCATCATTTGCTTAAGTATCTCATGGAAAACACTCTGGCATATTGCAACCTACAGTACAGATAAAAGAGCCTCAATGTGTGTATATATGAGTTGCAACAAGGACGAGTTTTATGTGCTATATCAAAATATCCTACCCTCATGTCAGAATGAAGTGGATTCCAGCAGCAGTAAAAATTATGCAGAAAGGGTGAGAAGTAGCTTGGAAACACAACAGCTGCATAATCTTGTAGGTAGCTTTCAGCAGAAAGACGTGCCTCAGGCTCCAACTGGATCATATGCAGTATCATCTTGCGGATTCCAGAATCTGGGATCTGCACGTCCAGCGCGTAGATTTATCCACCATAAGAGGGATAGTTAAGGATGATCGAGATCTATCCAAGTTTCACCATAGTGATTTAATACAGCTCTAAAACACTACAGGCTTTGGCTTAAGAAAAGCAGAATGAAATGGGAGGTTAAAATGAAGTTTCAAGGATAAGAGAGACAGAGTGAAATATCATGGGTAAGACTAAGTATTCAAAATAGCGTAAAAAACCCAAATAAAATTGAATGCTTCATAAATGATAAACCCACCTCTCTTATTCTTCTCTTGGTGGGTAAAATTGATTTATGCACAAATATATTGAGACTACTGTAATGAACTAGACAAAGCCAGGGGGAGATGAAGAGAAACAGAGAGAAGGACCTTTTCAAGATATTGGCTAGGATCGTATTGTCCTCTACGATAAGCAAGAAGCTGGGAGAGTTCAAACAGTTGCTGACCCTCAAGAAAAAGCTCCGCAATGACGCACCTAAACAGAAACATGATGAATCAGATAATTGTTGCAACACAAAATAAAACATATAAAACCAGGACTTCAACTACAAAATTTGATCAGTTTTATATTAGATCCATGCAACCCAAAAGCGATACCCCAACCAGAAGTCACTTTACTTGATTCTGCATTGTTAAAAATATCAGGTCACAAGAAATTTGACCTGTATACCAATCCCACAAACAAAACATAAGAGAAAAAGAAACCTTGTTTCTTTTCTTTTTTTCTCTTATGTCCAGAGAATGTTAGCGATAGGGCAGTCGCAACCCTCTTCCCCCAACCTCAAAAACTCCCAACATTCTTGTGAAGGGAGAATTACCAGCGACGCAGTTGGTACTGTCAAGAAAAGGAAGGAGGGCGATTTTGCATTTGGATAATGCTAAACAATGAAATGAAACCGCAGCACAAAATCATGTCGATTACCCTGCATAACTAACAATTTCATTGTGCATTAACCATTACAGAAAAAAGTTTGCACGCGGTGGGGATATGAAAATCAAGTTTGGCAAGAATTGTGAAGTGAAAGCATCATGGAAGATAGAGATACTAATATACTTAGCAAGCTCACCCTACAGCAAATATGTCCATGGACGGCAATAGGGGTGCATCTTGAGCAACTTGCACCTCGCCTCCATGCTCATAAAATCTCTGAAATTTGAGGATGAGTAAGTATAATATATTGCATGATAACAGCACTGAACAATAAAGGAAAACTGGAAACAGTTTAGAACCATATGTTTCTTGAGTGCCTTGATGATCAATAAACAAGCAGTCAGTATACAGAATAGAGGGGAAAACAAAAATGAGACTAATGCAGATGGTGAGCATTAGGATCAAAGATCTGTTGGGACAAAACAAAACCTCGGGTGCAAGATAACAGAGCCTTCTTCCTCCTGTGTCAAAGAAGAATGAGAAATCCGAAGGATCATCATAAGGGATGTAAGTTGGTTTAAATGAGGCGAAGTCAGCAAGATAAAGCCAATTCCAGGAAGTAACCAGCACATTCTCGCATTTGATATCACCTGCCATTGACAAAGAGTATCAGAAGATGCGAACCTCGGTAGAAACTAAAAGTTAACTGCACTCACCATGACAAATGCCCTTGTCATGACACTGTTTCACCGCAAGAAGCAACTGCAATGGAATAAGCATAAATAAGAGTCCAGAACAGTTGTATTTTAAGTAATTATTTTATTGGTAAGAAAGTGAAGGAAACAAAGGAAGACCTGGAATGCCAACCACTTCTTTTCAACGAGACTGAGAAAAGGACGAGTACTCAATCGATCATGAAGATTATTGAAGAAGTATTGCCTCAAAAGATAGGCCGCTTTATCTGTTTCTTGAAAAAACTGCAACATCAACAACATCAGCATCAAAACCCAAATCATCGTATCGATTTAATAGTCAAAATTGCAGACCTGGAAGGGCCAGACGTGATGATGGTCAAGACCATGGAAGGTATCCTTGATGTTGATGAGACGGCGGTGGTAGTCGGTGAGATCAATGTTATCACCACGCTTGAAATAAACCTTGACCAGAACTAATCCCTCATCGTGCTTGCACAGTATAGACTTGAAGAACCTGCCTCGGCCTAGCACCTCCTTCAGTACCAAATTATACGATGACGGCAGGTCGTGCAGGTAGTACTCTGATGCCGATGCCTGCGTCGTCCGCGCGATTTTGTTTCCCATGCTTTCCTTTTTCTTTTTTTGTAATTTTAAATCTATTCTAATTGAATTTTACCATTAGGTCTTCTTCTGAGATCGTTTTGCTTTTACAATTATCCCGAACCCGAAAGAGGAAGGAGATAGGGAGAGATAAACCATAAATTGAAGCATTCCCTCTCCTCCGTCCCATAATATACTCGGGTTTAAATAATACACGCAACTCCAACCAAAGCTAAACGATCTGTCGGGGTCTGGGCAATTTTTCTGCTGTCGTTGAGCCAATTATAATTCGGTCCCTGGTTTTTTTCTAATGTAATCATTTTGGTTCTTTAGAACTAGCAAATGTAAAAATAGGGTCATCCTCAAGCATCTTCGACTCAAAACCCAATACAACCTGAAAGTATCTATTTAATAATATAGTTGTGGATTAAGTTCACTCATAGCTATATTGAATATCGTTTGGTAAGAAAAAAACTACTTTCCACTAACAAAATTCACTAAAAATTAAGATAAGACTGCAAGTTATGAAGAAGCAGCATTTAGCTGCTTCGTATGGGGTAGGAAGCTGTAGAGTGAAGCATAAAATAGCAAAATCATGCTCCACTGTTCACTAAATTTAAATTAATTTTTTAAAAAAAATTAGTGTGAGTAAATTAATTTACTCATATTGTTCAAGTAAAAAATTTAGTCTTTTTTTCAAAAAACCAGTATAGTTAATTAATTTCACTCATATTATTTACGTAAACATGAACGTGAACAGTAATTTTTATAAAAAAAATAGTTTAAGGTGAATTAAACTAGCTCGTATTGTAATCTCAATTTTATTCCTAATAATATTATATCTAATTTTATTGTACACTCAAAAAATCATAAAAATTGTAGTTCTTGTCGAATGAATTTTGTATGTAACGAAATTATAAATTTTTTAAAAAAAAAGTTGAGTTTTACTCGAAAAACTAGTATTTAATATTATTTAATAACACTACATAAATTAGAAGGATATTGCATGATGATGTAACATTTATGGAATTTGATCGCAATTCCAATTATGTTCTTGCCGAGTCCGACTCAGTTAAAAAAATCAGTTTTATGTTTATTTAATTGTATTTTATTTAAAAAATTAGAAGAAGATCGCTTAATGACGAGTGAATTAATTCAGTTTTTGTTGTTGCGTGCTTAAGAAACCATGAAAAATATAGTAATTGTTGGATAGATTTCGTATGTGATGACATTGCATATAGTTTAATGGAATAATAATAAAAATATTTGATATTAGTATTATTTATTTCATGATGTAATAATAGTAGTTAAATATACAATATTTAAATTTATCATTAATATTAATATATATATATATATATATATTTTTAATTATTTTATAACCTCAATATGAAAAGCATTTTTTAAATCAAACACATCAAACTATTTTTTGTTCAACCTCAATTTCAACTACAGTTTTAACCAAATATATATTTTTTCAAACCAATCTCATTAAATATATTTTTTATAAAACAACTTTTTTAAAACTACAATCACAACAGTAATCTCAATACCATACATACCCAAAACAAAAACTATATTTTTCATGGTTTTTTATAATGTTTTGGTTATAAATAGTGGTTGTGTTTTGACATATGGAACCCATAAAAAATGAGGTTTGATCATAGGTTTAGCTGAAGCAAATTTTTGATGCTTCTTCCTGCTATGTCTTTTTATAGTGGAGAGCAAACTCTTCACTGTTCATGTGAATATTAGAGTCACTCTCTATTATTTTTGCCATTGTTCCGCCCCGCTCGGGTTCAGTTTAAAGTTAAATGCATTAAACCAGGTTGAATCCAATTAAAAAAATTAATTTTTATTTTTTAATTATGTTTTATTCGAAAAATTAGAAGGAGATTGCTTGATGACGTAACATTTACAGAATTTGATCGCAATCCCAATTTTATTATTGCGGGGTTCGACCTTGTTAGAAAAAATTCAGTTTTTATTTTTATTTTTAATTGTATTTTATTAAAAAAATTAGAAGGAGATCATTTGATGACGTAGCAATTGTAAAATTTGATCGCAACCTCAATTTTGTTCTTGATGATATCTTACTTGATGTTGTCACGCGCTTAAAAAACCATGAAAAATATAGTCATTTCGTACGTTATGAAATTACACATAGTTTAATGGAATAATAAAAAATATTTGATATCAATATTATTTATTTTATGATATAGTAATATTAGTTAAATTTACAATATTTAAATTTAAAATCATTAATATTAATAAATATTTTTTTAATTATTTTATAACCTTCATTTGAAAAGTATTTTTTTAACTAACATATTAAATTATTTTTTGTTCAACCTCAATTTTAATTATAATTTTAATTAAATATATATTTTTCCAAACTAATCTCAACTAAAAATATTTTTTATAAAATACAATCACAACAACTACCGTAATATTAAACAATTGAGTTTAAATTAAAAAATAGCAGCTGCCCCAAAGCCCCAAATTTAGAAAGCCTTTAATATAATAAAGTTCTTCTTCTGCTTTTTATTAAGGTTTCTATGCTCTAGTATTATTATAAAAAAAATTAAAAATCTCAGTTTTTTATTATTCATTGAAACATAAATTATTATAAATTAAAATAATGTGAAAATAAAATTATCTTTATCATAAAAAACTTGTTAAGCATATAGCTCAATGTAGGGTCATGCGTTTTTTTTTTAAATATAATAATAACACTTGTAAAACAATCTTGTAAAATAATTGTTAAGCACGAGCAATTTATCTAGGTTTTTCTGTTTATTTTGCTCAATATATTTAGATGATTTTGTTTAAAAATAGATGGTTTTACTCTAACAAAGAAAACGGATGGTGTTACTACTTGATGCCTTGATAATATTATTTCAAATTATATAAAATGAGAAAAGTAATGTGTTAAACTCTCATTTAATTCTTATTACGAGATAATTTTATATATAGATGACAAAATATAAACAAATGTTTGCTCAGAATAAGAAAAGCTGGTATCTTTAAAAGGTTAGTTTACCTTGTTTAGGTGATAATCAAGTTGTTATTTTTCTGAAACCAAGAATTGATTTAAAAAAAATATTAAAAAATAAGTTATTCCATTAAATTTTGACTTTACTTTTAACACATTGCTAATATACTATTGTGTTAATTATCATAGTTATATAAGATGCTCGTGAATGATACATAAGTGTGCATATGTTAATTAATAATATTTAAAATTAAAATACTTCTTCTGCAAAATTGAATTTAATAGGTTAGGTTAGCTCAAATGCGCAGTTATCCTAAACTGAATATAATTCTGATTTAAAATAAATTTTAAATTTAAAATAATTTGAACCAATACAATGCAACTTTTATATTTATATAACTTTAGAAATTTTTTATTATCAACTAAGACTAAGAAAATTACAATGGATAAGGTTAAGTGTGTTTGAAAGTATAGTTGTAATTATTTTTTAAAGTATTTTTTATTTAAAAAATATATTAATAATATTTTTTTATTTTTAAAAAATTATTTTTAAAATTAAGACATTCAAATAATTGAAAATCATAAAAAATATATTAATTTTAAATAAAAAATTTTAAAAAAATATTCCCACATAAACACCAAATTAAAAAAGGCGAGAGAATTAAGAAAAAAAAATATGCTAGATTGAAAGTTGTGCTTCTGGTGCCAGAAAAGTGAAACTTGTGGTGGCAGACAGCTGGAGAGGAACGAAAAATCCCATAGAATGAATGATTTCAATTTCTTGTTTAATGGGTCATATAGTTGGCCCAGTACCGGGTCAGGCCGGGTCTCAAAATATGTTTGGCCCAGCCCAAGTCCTGAACACTTCTCCTGATTGACACAATCCATTCGTTGCGCACGTGGGAGGGACAGCGGAAACAAAACCTAACATTGAAGTCCGACGAACCTTCTGGGTTGTTTTGTTCTACTTGTTTTATTTTTCTTTCTTGTGTAGAAATCAAAAACACTATTGCTTATTTATTTTATATATCTATCGTCTTCTAGACTGAAATTGCATCTGCTAAGTTCTTTACTTCTGCCAATGTCTTCTCCTGCAGAGTTAAGTGTCGTTTCCCTTCCTTTTTGTTTTCAACAATGGAGGAGATGGGGTTTGTCAATCCAGCCTTCTTATCTCTCTTGTTTCTTATTTCTTGATTTTAATTAAATTTCAGGTACTACAAGTCTCTTCCACCTATAAGCAAGGCTTATGGGACCTTGTGCCTGTTTCTCACCACAGCTGTTCAATTTGGACTTTTTAATTTGCCGGATATTGCATTGATATATAAACCTGTGTTCTCGAGCTTTCAGGTATTAATTTAACCGATTATGTTTCATGGGTGTCCTTTCTTTTCTTTTTCTTTTTCCTTCCTTCTGTTGAAATGGTTCTAACTCGAACGTTTGTTTGTAGGTATGGAGGCTGATCACAACCTTCTTTTTCCTGGGGAATTTCTCTATCAACTTTGGAATTCGCCTCTTAATGATGTAAGATATAGTTTTCAGACTTGTTGATTTGCTTTTTAATTTGTTGCTTGTTCTTAAAAGTTTTAATTTCGGTTTGAGAAGCATATGAATACTTTCCTTCCCAGCACCAATGCTTCCCTGTTAACTCTTGCAACTGTACAGAGCAAGATATGGAGTCCAGTTGGAGAAAGGGCCGTTTGAAAGGCGTACAGCGGATTTCTTGTGGATGATGATTTTTGGAGCTCTATCATTATTGGTGTGTGGTTATCTTCCCTTTTAATTCATTTTCCTTGGATTAGGTCTCTGATTTTCCACTTGAAATTCGGACTCCGAGCTAGAGAACCTTTTAATTCGTTCTCCTTGGATTAGGTCTCTGATTTTCCTCTTGAAATTCCTAGGCAGATTATTCATGGCATGGCCAAGCTCATCCGAGCTAGAGAAATTTGAAAAGTGACCTTCATCTAGATTTACCATGTACTCTCCCTTTCTTATTTGACTTCCAATTTCTGTTGCAGGCCCATCTTTGGGAACATGTGAAGCTCACAGTGAGCTATAGCTTCGATGATACTTGTTTATATGAATTTATTCTTGCAAACATCCTCCTGTTGATTGAATGTGTAGAATGCGATCAATCCTTCTACTAACTTTGGCATGATCTTTCTCTTGGATTCTAGGTACTTTCTGCGATCCCCATTT